GTCACAAAATATTATTCTTGTATTCTTCTTTAAAACGGTTTTATTGAAATATAATAATTTTAAACTGAAATAACTCTTTTTGGCAATTACTAAGATGTAAGAGTTAAATCTAAGTGAGTTGTAAACATGCAGACTTAAATTATTTGCACAAAAATAAAGGGGTTGGGTATCGCCAATTAAAATAATATTTACTCTATTAATAGGGCGATTTTTGGAAGCAGGAGGCTCAAAAAATAGATATTAGATTTAGAAGTAAGGTTAAATAGTACTTATCAGAAATGTCTGCTAGTGACAGAAGGTCAGTATTAATGTTAGCCCAAGCATGAATATTTTCTTCTTAAAAAGAATACCATACTTGTATTATTAGCATAAGTATAAACTTGACAAGTTTTTGGGACCACGCTTAATGTGTAGAGAACAAATGAAAGCGGGTCCAATATTGAGCTTTTTAGGAACACCAGAATATGTGTTCAAAAATTGAAACGTTTACCATTTAAGACAGCAGCTTGGAATCGATTTTTTAGATAACTCTTGGATAGGTTAAATGTTTGCACATGAAATTATGTATAGTATAACAGCTAAAAGGAGTTTATGACTGATAAGATAATTAAATAATCGAGAAGTATTCAAACAGTGAGTTAATTATTATTGCAGGCTCTGTGAATCAGTTACTTTTACTAGTGCCGTAGTGCAACTATTAACATTAAAAACAAATATTAATTATTATTTCTGCTCAAAATCGGCAAATAAAATAAGAACACGATATTACAAAGTTGCCAAATGTTATAATCGGAAGGGAATAGTTGCGTATTCTTCTCGTAATGCGTATCTGGCGTCAGTGGTTAATTATTGTATTTCTAGTTGAATTGTCTCATTTGACTTTTATGGACATTTTTAATTTTAGTTTAAAAGTGACAGACACATATTTAAAAATCTGATGTGTCCAACACATGACTTTCCTATCTAGTTATTACAGGCTTTTCCCGGTTATTTTGTACAACCTATTGCAGCACCTCTATAAATGTTTAAAGGAGGATAAACTAAATATATACATTTTCCACATACATCTACCTCGAAACATTTTTCTATAGATATTCATTGAAAAGGAAAATACTGAAAAATTTAAATTTAGCACTTTTCCTACAATTTTCCATTTTAGAAAAATCATGTATAAACAAAAATTATAGAGATCGATATCGCAAACAACTTTTATTTCAACAATTTTCATAAAAATCAGAATTTTGCACATTTTGTCAAATTTCTCGAATACGTTCTTTTTCAGGAAATTTGTACATAAAACAAAAATTATAGATAATATTATTAGAAGTAACTTTTAATTGAACAATTTTTTTCTCCAAACATAAATAACAGATATATTCCATAAAATATAAAAACGGCCTCCCATAAAGTACCCCTCCAGATGTTCTGACTTTGTCCAAAATCTAATCATTTCACGTCAGGCCGAAATAAAACTTAAGTTTAACATTTAATATTTTTTTCTTAATCCATTTTTGAGTTTTCTTCAAATTTCAAAATTTACACATTTTCTCAAATATCTCGAATACGGTCCATTTTAGAGAAATTATGTATAGGATAAAAATTATAAAAAATTATATTACAAACAACTTTTGTTTAAACAATTTTTATAAAAAAATATTTTTTACATTTTGTCAAATATCTCAAATACGGATTATTTTAGGAAAATTTTGTATAGGACAAAAATTATAGATAATAATATAAGAAGTAACTTTTATTTGTAAAATTTTCTTCTCCAAACGTAAATAACATATATTCCATAAAATATAAAAATGACCTCCTATAAAGTACCCCCAAGATGTTCCGACTTTGTCCAAAATCTAATCATTTCACGTTAAGCCGAAATAAAACTTAAGTTTAAAATTTAATGTTTTTTCTTTATCCGTTTTTGAGTTTTCTTCAAATTTCGAAATTTACACATTTTCTTAAATATCTCGAATACGGTCCATTTTAGAGAAATTCTGTATGGAATAAAAATTATAGAAAATTATATTACAAACAACTTTTGTTTAAACAATTTTTATAAAAAAAATATTTTTTTTTATTTTGTCAAATATCTCGAATACGGACCATTTTAGGAAAATTTTGTATAGAACAAAAATTATAGATAATAATATAAGAAGTAACTTTTATTCAAAGAATTTTCTTCCCCAAACGTAAATAACAGATATATTTCATAAAATATAAAAATGACCTCCTATAAAATACCCCCCAGATGTTCCGACTCGGTCCAAAATCTAATTAGCTCATTGGACGCTGGAAAAAAGCTTAAGTTTAAAATTTTGTGTTTTTCTGTGTATCGGTTCATGAGATATGCGACACACACACACACACACACACACACACCCACCCACACACACACACAACACACACACACACACACACACACACACACACACACACACACACACACACACACACACACACACACACACACACACACACACACACACACACACACACACACACACACACACACACACAATATTTTTTATACGCAGGGTACCTCATAAATGCAATTACAGGATTTATATCTTTGTAAAGAATTTTACTGCTGGTAAACATACTAATAGTATCTAAATAAAGACAATTTAAAAAAATATTTTTTGATTTGTGTTTTATTTCATAAAAACCAACCACCTATTCAAGGAAACATTATTAGTTTGGTATTTTTATTATTGGTAGCTAATTATTTATTTAGAATATAAATTTTAAATTATATTTACAGTAACATTTTTTAGAAGCTACCTTTTAAGGATTTTAGGCTCCCGCGGTGACATTTTTGTTTTTTCCCTATAAAAAAAAAAACGATGGCACAACGGACTCTATTCAGCCCTAGTTTCTGAATGAGAAATATTAACAGTATCAATCATAAAAACAAACAATACATCTAAATTAACATTCAACTTTTTTCAAACCCTTTGATATAACTTTTTCAAAGTTCAAAATTCAAAATTTAAAAAAATAGTACCTTAAGTTACACCGACGAGAAAACGCACCTTTCTCTTTTGAAATCTGACATATTAGCATCAACAGGTGTCACTTGTCATCGCTATCATTTTAGCCGCCTAAAATAAGCGAGAACTTTGTTTGTAATAAAGAAAAAAAAATTAAACAATGGCTATATAAGTACCAAGCCAAAGACAAGAAACTTACTGAGCCTAGGTAAACATGCGACAGTATTCCATACAAAAATAGCAGCAATAAATCATTGTACAAAAGAGGTATTAAGACCAAAGATAAATGGAAAAACCATTGTTATATACTTAGACAGCCATGCGACATTTAAAGCACTTAGTTCTATGCAGGTACACTCAAAGCTTGTGTAGGACTGCTTGGAAGCCCTAACAGAGCCGGGTAGTCAAAACAGAATAACTTTAACCTGGGTACAAGGCCACAGAGGACATAAGGGCAACAAAGAGGCTGATGTCACAAACACAACAGCAATGGATGTTTAACCAATCTTAGGAATACTGTAAAAATTCACCAGGACTGAGACAGGCTAAAAAGGTTTCAAAAGGACCATCGCCAAACTCACCGAGCATCTACTAAGCCTTAATAGGAAAAATACTAAACTTCCAGTAGGTCTATTAACATGGCATTGTAGGCCTAACAAACATATGTATAATATCGGTATAATAGTAGAAACCTTGTACCGATTCTGTCAGAAAGAGGAAGAAACTCCAGAACGAGTATTATGTTACTGCAAAGGTCTATCAAGACAGAGATTCCTTACACTTGGAGAAGAATAACCAATGGCAATTAGCTACGCTGGAGAACTACTTCCTAGTCTATGGAGTCTACTACAAAAGACCGAATTAGACAAGTTACTCTAAATAAAGATTAAAGGATATCCACAATAGATCTGAAAATGTTCTAATTAAATCTAATCTAATCAAATTGCTGTATAAACTCCTATCAAAAATATTTTAAAGAATATAACTTTTTGGATATCATTGTGGTGACGGTAAATATTTTTAATAATTACTTTTCTTCTATCTCTAAATTTAAATTAACTTTCAATTAGATTCATCACATGTTTTCGTTTTTTTATTTTAACTCGCCTTTTAACTGTAAATACAATTTAATTTGGACAATGATTGCGGAATAACCTCTTATCTCTACACAAATATACCTCTTGAGGTTCTATTTAAACGATTAAGGGTTTATGCCCTAATCATTATCTCTAACATTGGGTTTTTCTGTAATTTTGTACTTTCCTCTAATTTGTAAATTTGTTAACTGTAAAAAAAATAAAATTAATTTTGTGACTAAAATTTTTTGTTCATATTTTATATTTGCATATTTTTTATCATATTTACACCCACAATTATTGTAGATAAGCACTGAAGCTGGCGTTATGCCGAAAACGTTTTGCATTTCAAATTAAATAATCTTATGGATTATTAAAAATATTTGACTTTTATTGCTCACTAGCTAACAAATAAAGTTACGAAATTTAAAGTCAATGTTCTCCATAAATTATATTCCTGATCTTTAGTGACTAACCTTGTAACTTCCGCTTGTATATATTTCGGTAATTTTTGTTTTATAACAAATTTAAATCGTTTCATATAAATGTTTTTTCTGCTACATTAATTTTCAGTTATTTTATGGGTAGACTCGATTCAGCTGAAACGACCCGTTATTGCCTTCGAATTTTCCTTTCAGCGGTTTCATTTTCTAAATCAAATCGTACCGCTAGCTATCGACAGCACGGTCTCAAAGTCTCTACCTACGACCAAGTGAAAGTAAACTTAAGCGAACCCCATCCAAAAGCGTGTCTGGCCAAAGCTGGTCAGTAGTTCAGTTAGATTCATTGAGACTACGAACTCCACCGTGACAGGTGCACCTTCCCCTCGCGCGACGTTTCGGCCGAACCGTTCGACCGTCCTCAGAATTTTACGCGGAGATTTTCGCTTTTTGTGTTTTTTTTTACTTTGTGAGTGGGTGCTTTTGGAACGATGAGGGGTGCCTGGTGGTGCCTTCTCTTGGTTATCGCCGCCGGTAGTGACGCTTCGAAGGGTGTTCCGTCTAGATTACCGAGAACTAGTGCTGGACAGTTGGCGGCGGCGGCTGCCGCCCAGAATAAGACTGTGTATCAGTTGAGGAATTTGAACGGTAAAAATGGGACTGTGAGTGCAGGTACGAATACGAGTACTGTGGGTCCACCACCTGGAAGAGGGTCTTCAAGTAGAGCACGGTGAGTACTTTTTGTTTTATAATACATGCATTTTTATTTTATTTTTTTATTTATTATTATAAAATATAAGAGAAGTGGTCGTCTGTTGTTACGCAAAATAATTAGTGGGTAAATTAAATTTTCAATTGTTTTATCTTATATAATATACCCAATGAAAAAAAAATCTTTAGTTATTTGAAGAAGACATTTTTGCTGAATTAAAAATCTGATACATCATAAAATAAAAAATAGTAGGCCAGAATAATCCCTATTCCCTTTCAGATAATTTGAATATTTAAAATTTTTTGATATCACAAATTCTTGATACTTTTAAAACTAAAATATTCTTCACCTTTGTCTAAAATTAAAATGTTAACTACCAAGTTTAATTGTAAAGTTTTTAAATACTAAAAAAAATTAATGGCTAGGTTTTCGTAAATAAATTTTAATTTTAGCAGAAAAAGGCATAATTATATACAAAATTTGGAGAAACAAACTACGAAAACTAAAATTACTGGTGATGTACAAGAAATTAACGACTGACTTGGTAATAGTGAAAATAATAATATAAAGATATTTAATATGATCATTCGAAGTATTAGTAAGAACTTCTACAATTTGAAATTACTACTGCATCAATTAAGGAATGAATACAATATCATTATTTTAACTGAAACTAGGCAGCTGCCAGAACTTTTAATATTTTATTAACAAAGGTATAATCTTTTTTAAAATAAAGGTAATATTAACTAGAATGATGGAGTTTTGTTATGTATAAAAGAAAGTATGATTTTGAGAAAATTCAAATTGATTCTATAAAATTTTTTAATGTTACTTTTTTATTTCACAATAAAAAAAATAAAATATCACCAATTTACAAACCTCCAGCAACATCAGTAAATACATTTCTAGAAATTTTAGAAGAATATTTTAGCCAAATAAATACAAAATATAATACACATCTTTATAGGAGACATAAATATTGATATAAAAAAGAAACGATTGTATCAAAAACTTACTTAAATTTATTGTATACAAATGGGTACATGTCATATATTAATAAATAATATACCCGAGTACAAGGAGATTGTAAATCATGTATTGATCATTGCTTCATTAAAGATGATTTGGAATCCTTTAAGCACAATCCAATTTTATTTGAATCAGACACAACTGACCACTTTTCTACCAAACTTCAAATTATTTCTTGTAGAATACAAAAGAAAAATTATAGAAAAACATTATATAAACAATATATTGACAACAATAAACTAAAAATTAATATTTCTAACGTAAACTGGATTAATATATATGCAGCAACCAATATTGAAAAGATATAGATATATTTTTAAGAAAAACTCAAGATATTTTAATTTGTTCTACTAATAAAATGAAACAAGAAACGAAATCCCTGGATATTGAATACGTTATAACATCTACCAAACAAAAGCGAAAATGATATTCATTATTTAAGTAAAATCCAAATTATAATAAATTTAAAAATACTTTCAGCAAACTTAATTTTAGCAAAAAAAGATAACTGCACCAATGAGTTATTATCGAATAAAAATAACTAGGGCGCTCTTTGAAAATCTGTCAATGAAATTATAAATAAAAATAAATATTTAAATAAAATAGAAGAAATAAGAACTCCTAACTGGGAAACATTGTCAATGAGAAAAAGGAACAAGCAGACATTTTTATTGATTTCTTTTCTAAAGTTAGAGAAAAAATGGCCACAATGATCACAACCCAGAATCAAATTACAAGTTATAAACTCAAAACAAAAAAATCTTTTTTTTTTGGAAGACATACAGAACAATAAAAATTATAAATACAGTAAGGAAGACGAAATACCTCGGTACTGATAATATCACATTAAACTTATTGCGGAAAATAATGATGTGCCCTTAACTTTTTTCATAAATAGAATATTATTCAATACCGGCGAATGTCTAACAGTTCTTAAAGCTGCGGTAGTAACACCGGTTTATAAAAGTGATGAAAAGCTGAATGTACGAATAACCGACCAACATCACTCTTATCTACATTTGCCAAAATTTTTCTATAAGCTCTAAAATATAAGACAATTAACTATTTAAATAATTACAAAATAATTGCACCTAGTCAATATGAATTCACGGATGTAAAAAACATGCAAGATGCTATTTTGGAACTTCTAAAAATTAATAGAAAAATAATAATAAAATCCCAACGCTGTGCCTCTTTGATACGGTTAGTCACTCTCAGCTTCTATAAGTAGTAGAAAAAATTGGATTTAGAGGAACTGCGTACTTACTTCTCGGATACCAATACACGATAGTTTATTTTCTGTATTTATAAATTTACATCTATTATGGTAGGCTATTATTCTGAATCCTTTATCAGCAATTTTTACTACTGATAACAGGTTTCTTTTTAATTGTAGAATAAATAACATCTTTTAAAATTTTACTGGTCAATTCATCATTTTCATGCGCTTTAACTTTAATATCTCCTACACCAATAGGTTTGACGATAGTATTATCAGTTATTTTAGCATTATTTTTTCTTATATTGGCTTTAAATTCTGAAACCATTCTTTATGGAAAGTCATATGAACGCTTGCTCCTGTGTCTGCTAGCCATACTTGTCCATGAAATTAATTACAAATTAATGCTTCTTCTCTGGGATATCTGCTTTTCTTTCATGGGAGTTTTTTCCGGTACATTTCCTTGTTTGCTTTTTAAGGTTTTGTATGTTTAGTTTTATTCGGTCATTACTTTAATTATTTGGTTTTTTGTGGCAGGAGTCTGTAGTGCTAAACTTTCATCTTTAATTTCATTCGAAGTCATCTTCTGTTTTTCCTTTATTAAATGTGCTACTAGTTCATCAAAAGTCTGCCTTTTTGGATCTACGGAATCCAAAGCCGTTACAAGCAGAAAATTTGGATGGTAAACTGTTTATAACTTTAGAAATTATTGCAATATCTGATATGGTTTCTTTCATATCTTTTAATTGTTTCACTACAGATTCAATATCAGAAATAAAAGAAGCAACTGTCCTTTGGTCATTTGCATTTTATAAATTTTTTGATATATTATATGTTTGGATACATCAGTTTTCTGTTCATGTATAAGCTTATTCTACATATATAATGAAGTTTTACTAAATAATTAAGCTGGCTTTCACAAATTGGGCTTAAAAATATCACCATCACCTGATTATCTCTCTTTTCCCATTTTTTATTTCTTCTGCATTCATGATACTTGATTTCTTCTCATTTCCATTTACAATGTTCATTAAATCGTTAGATTTTAGGGCTATTGTGTCACTAAACTTCCACAGCTGATACCAACGAATTCAACAATTCAAACTCCTTCTTGGGCCATCGTTCAAAAAGTCGGTAAATGTCAAAATATATTTTTTTACTTGTCGCTTAATGCGTTGCGGTTCTCAATGTACTATTTTTCTTTAGATTAAATGCTGCAATTTTCAGTATTCTGGGCCATAACCTCTTGGAATACAATATAGAAAATTAGATATGACAAGTAAAATTAATTTTGAATCAAGCAGAACATTTATTTTATAAAACTCTTGTGTACAGTACATATCCAAGGTTATCAAAATGTTCAGATAAGACTTCATGAAATCTTAAGGCATTTCCAACACTCCCATTATTTCACTGAAGTCCAAAATCTTCAAAATGGAACGGTTATAAACAATTTTTTCTTTTAGAAGAGGTTTCGTTAGAATATATATTTTAACACAATTTCTTTTCTTCCAATCAGATGTCTAAAAAAATTATATGATCAAGCAGAAAATTTATTTTCCAAAACTCTTATTTACAATACATATCCAAGGTTATTAAAATGCTTAGTATATATAGATAAGACTATGAAAGTTTAAGGCATTTCCAACAGTTAGTATTACTAAAAATATAGAAAAAAGTCAAATCTATATTAGTTTCTCTATATAGACAACTGAAGATAATCTGATTCAAAATGAAATGTTTAAATGAAACATTCTTCAGTCAAATGTTACTCGTTTCCGAAACACTGGATCCTAAAGATGAAAAATATCTATAATTCCTTATAATTAATACCTATACTGCTGTTCAATTTCAACCTACTACCAAAAGCTAATTTTTTAAAAAATATTTCTGAACATATCTTAAACATTCTGAATGATGAATGTTCTGTTACTAATTTTAGTGAAATTTATATGAATCCTAATATTGATATTAGTTTTGAATTTTTTATTAATATAATCAAATTTCTACTTGACAAGTTTTGTTCATTTAAACATTATGATGTCAACATTAAAAGCAGATCCAATTGAAATACAAATGAGATTAAACAAGCCAGTCAACACCTAAAAAACTTACATTGGTTAACAAGTACAAGTAACTTTAAAACTGAAAATTCTCTATAAACAATCTAAGGCTAACTATAATAAATTGCTAAAACAATATGAATATTATTCATAAATCTAATAATAAAAATAAAACCGTATGAAATTTTGTAAACCAAGAAACTAATTGATAGAAATAAGAAAAGTAATAATTGTATATTAAATTTAGATGGAAAAATCTACCTCTAACCCTAAAGACTTGGCTTATACTTTTTCACAATAAATGTAAACCGTTTAAGCATGTATTATTCCAATTCAAGATCTTAGTGCTGCACCACATCAGGTATGTTGGATTCAACATTGTTTTTTCAAATAGGACATACTGTATATCAAAATAATCCTAATAAACATTTTTGTAACCTAATTATTAATATGAGTATTGAGTATACATTTTTGATCAGAAACTGATTAGATTTAAAACAGATGATAGTAGGAATTTCTAATAATTAATGTTTAAATGTCATAATATTAAGTAATTGGTTAAACGTTTTCTTCAGTTGCTACACATATGTGTGGCAATAATAAAATATATTTTTCATAAAAGTCACACAATTATGAGATTATGAATTATATGTATAAATTCAAAGTCGTTGGTATTAACACATATATGAACAATAAATGTAAAAAAA